CTACGCCAACAGCAAGGACCTTAGCACCCCATCAGTAGGCCCAGCCACGCAGACCCAACGCACAGCAGAATTTGTGGAGCGCTCTCTTTAATAGCGGTTATTTCACTTGATACCAGCAGAGCGACTGCCTTTGCAGGATTTCTGCACGTCACAGACTTCTCCGTGTCTAGCAGGGTTGGCTATTCCCAAACTACAGCTTGGCAGGCTGCAGATTTTTCGGTGTTGTGCACACCGTGGAAGTAGCACGGCTCCTCGCATCGAGGCACGCAGGTGGTGTCCAAGGAGCTGCAGGCCAAGGCGGCACTCCACAGGAGCTGGGCCAGCCGAGGGAGCGGGAGGGACCTTCAACAGGCCGCAGAGAGGAGGGAGAAGCAGCTCTGCAACAGCTGGCATATGACCCACGCAGGATCTGATTTATTGCTCCGTAAGGGCCTTGCCCCCTGTGACACCAAACTGCAGGAACAGTCAGTGCTGCACAGGAATAATTGTCTAACTTCTGTACAGGCCTACATATACCCACTCTATGGCCTGGAAACCAAGGAGGAGGCATTCAGCTTGGAGCCAGAGCAGCAAATATCAAATAGGGACCTCAGTTCCCCTCCTAACTTGTGGGAGTTTTGATACTGACTTCAACAGCAGTGAGTTCTTGCTCCGTGTGGTGGGCTGATCCTGGCTGGATGCCAGGTGCCCACCAAAGCTGCTCTATCACTCCCTTCCTCAGCTGGACAGGGGAGAGAAAAGATAACGAAAGGCTCGTGGGTTGAGATAAGGGCAGGGAGAGATCACTCAGCAATTACCATCACGGGCAAAACAGACTCGACTTGGGGAAACTAGTTTAATTTATTGCCAATCAAATCAGAGTAGGGTAATGAGAAATAAAAACTAAATCTTAAAACACCTTCCCCCCATCCCTCCCTTCTTCCCAGGCTCAACTTCACTCCCGATTTTCTCCACCTCCTCCCCATCAGCAGCGCAGGGGGACAGGAATGGGGGTTGCGGTCAGTTCATCACACGCTGTCTCTGCCGCTCCTTCCTCCCCAGGGGAGGACTCCTCACACTCTGCCCCTGCTCCAGTGTGGGCTCCCTCCCAGGGCAGACAGTCCTCCACCAGCTTTTCCATCATGAGTCCTTCCCACGGGCTGCAGTTCTTCACCAACTGCTCCAGCGTGGGTCCCTTCCACGGGGTGCAGTCCTTCAGGAACAGACTGCTCCAGCGTGCGTCCCCCACGGGGTCACAAGCCCTGCCAGGAGCCTGCTCCAGCCTGGGCTCCTCTCTCCACGCAGCCACAGGTCCTGACAGGAGCCTGCTCCAGCGGCTCTATCGGACATAGGGGAAGCTTCGAGCAGCTTCTCACAGAAGCCACCCCTGTAGCCCCCCGCCACTACCAAAACCTTGCCACACAAACCCAATACACTCTGAAACGAAAGACAAGGTAATATTTTTAATTAAACGGGAAGGGTGTGCAATACCCTTCACTGAACATGTTGTTGTCTGTATCTTGCCTGTGAAACACCCTGGCAGTAAAAGGTGCTTTCAAAATGCTGGATACTAATTACTCAGAAATGTTCCCTTGTCTATTTTAACAGACATTTCTGCTCCAAAACATGCATATTTTTTATGTCTCTCATTTTCTGGGGCAGCCAGCCCCAGAGGCAACAGGATAGCCAACAGGCGCACAGCAGATACAAAGCAAAGAGGAAAACTTTGGTAGTGTTGCCCAGGGGACAGGGCACTAGGCTTGGAAGGATGAGACCGGAGCGAATTCTCAGTCCTTTCACCAATCCAGAAGTCACACCGTGACATTCAGAAAGCCACTTCACCTTTCTACATCTGTTTTCCATAATGTAATAGACATAATACTGTGGCCCACGCCTTTTTGTAAGGTATTCTGAGGTCTACTGAGAAAAAGCATGAAAGAGACGGTAGATAAACAGTATCACTAGTCTCCCCGAGATCTTTCCTGAATGATGAGGAACAAAACTGCTTTAGGAAGGTGAAAGAGAGAGTCGAGCCAGCTGGGGTTTAAAACGATTGCTCCAGATACAGAGGATATCTGCAATTCTGTGGGCAGCCCACTATCCTCTCCCTTCCCACCAAGGAAAGATACTCAATTACCAGCTTCTGCACTTCTTCCCTTCTGCATCACTAACCAGACAGCGGCAGAGAAGAAGACAAGCAGAGCCTGAGAGGAAGAGCAACAGCACAAGTGTCTAAGATTGGTCTCCAGGCCCAAATGGAAACTGAAACATGGTCATTACCACGAGCATAGTTGTTTGCTCTCTGCATGTCTCGTCTCAGCTGGTGTACTTTCTCTTTCATCTCTGCAATGCCCATAGAGTTAGAGTAATTCAGGTCTCCCTGCAGAGCCTGAAAAATCTTGGCCTAGAAAACAATAACAGAGAAAAGGAAGATAAGGCGCTGAGACTTCACTTCTGCAACATAAACCCACAGAGCCACCATCCCTCCAGCATCTCGCACGCCAGCTGCAATGGCTCCGGTGTTGTGCGGGGCTTCCGAGCTCCCACGCTTGCTGAGCACAGGGATACCTTGCATTTCAGGCACTCTGTTTCTGGTCTTGGAACAGAAATACAGACCGGCATGGCAGAAGATCTTCGCATACTCATTGTACTGCCAGCTTATGGGGAGTAAGTCAGTCCAAGCAATACCTGGCCTGCTCTTCCACTGACTCTGCTTTCCACAACATTCCTCAAAGCCCTGAAGAGCAACTTTGCAACAGCACAACCTGCCCCGCCTCTGCCGTTGCCTAGGGCCTGCCACTTCACCTTACGTGGGCAGATTCCCTATAGATTGGGCTCACTCAGGGGGCTGTTTACATCTACTGTTCGGTCTTTCGCACCGCCAAAGCGGCATGTAAACGAGGAGTGTGGCATCCAGGAGTAGATACACTACTCACCTCAAATCTAGAGAGTTCCTACTACAGGGAAAATTTATACCAACAATTTCTGAAATGCTTCCAACTGCACCCCAGCTCTCTTCCCTGCTTGTGATGATATAGCTCAAAAGTACACTGTTTCTTCTAGATAGTGATGGTATTTTACTTTTTTCTCTACAATGGGATTTATCATTTATCACTACAAAGGGATTTCTGTAACATTTATATTTACTTAGGACCTTTACTGCTTTACAAACACTAATTTCAGAATCAAAGCTAGCGTGTGAGGACAGGAGACCTCATCTTACACTCCAGCCCTAGGAATGATTCATCTTAGCCATAGGATGGGGGTGCATCCAGGATCCTCAGGATTTCTGTGAAGGACCCCAAGAGCTCAATGTTTCCAGAAAATTCATGTACGCAAACACCCGAGGAAAAATAAGCAATGAATATTGGTACAAAACTAGGACTCAATCTGCCTTAAGATGGGAGTATCTGACCGAGACACACATACTTTTTTTTTTTTTAAAGAACAAAATGTAATTCCATCCCAAAGCATTCTATGACTCTATGATCCTATCTCATTATTATCCTAATACCCTCAAAGATCCAATGACCTTCACTAGGAAGGCATTGCAAGTACCTTCAGATAAGATACCAAGCCAGCTTCTTCATTCTCCATCTGTTTCTGCTTTCTCAAAGCCCTCTCACAGATCCTTGGGTTCTGCTCCATGTTTGAGTACAGTTCGTGCAGGCATTGCTGAGTGTAGGATGAAGACTGCTCCTCAAACTCCTCTATGGAAATCAGCTTGCAAAATGATACGCTGAGGGGATACTCGTTGTCAAACTCATCCAAGATCTCCATTCTCTACCTGATCAAAGATGACAGGGCAGGCTGTATGCTCTCCTCCGGCTGGTGGAGGCAAGGGAGCTATTTTCTGGTGACGAACCAGGGCCTCCCTCCTGCCCCGTCAGCAAACAGGGACACGAGCAGGCCCTACCACAGGAGCTCCCCAACACCCTCCCGAGAGCCTCTGCCACTAAAGCTGCCTCCGTGGTGTGACAGCACCAAGTCTGGGCGGCAGCTCTGGCGCAGGACCGTGTCAGGACAGGACAAGTGGGGAGATGCTGTCCCTCAGAGGGGCTCCCTGCCCTCCCCTGACCGCCAGGCCAACATTCCCTCTTCCCCTACAGCTCCGGACCAGGAACAGCGCTGGGCAGGAGGCGGCCTCCCCAGAGTAAGCACATATGGGTCTCTCGGAGCAGCGAGCAGCCAGACAAACGGCCCAAGCCCCTCACGCAACCATGCCCTGAGGGATACGCACCCACGAGAGGGGCAGCTGCGCTGTAGCCAACGTATGGGCAGCCCGAGGAGCGGCGCCTCCCCTCCGCGCTCACCGGGAGGGCGAGGGAGGGCAGGACGGCCGCCGTGAAGCGACCCCGGAGGGGGCGACCGGGCCCCACGACCTCCCCGACGCCGCGGGCACCTGAAGGGAGAGGGGGCGACAGCGCCCTGA